ACACTCCTTGGAGAGAACAATCATGGGAGAAGTAAGGGCTGCTTATGCACAGGGGAGACAGCTCAGGTGGCAGGAGAATATGGAGGGATGGACACTGGGAAGAGGTAACTATGGGGAGGAAGTGAGAGGGGAGCTGTTGCAGTGTGGTAAAATGTGGTCAATGACATAAGAAAAAGTATATGTGAACTGCTGTATGAAAAGTGAATTTGCTCTGTAAATCTTCACCCAAATCAAAATAAAATTAAAATATAAAATAAAATAAAAATAAAAATAGCAGCTCAAAATAAAATTTTGCCATAAATACTTTTAATAATTGCTTTAGTTTAAGTGTTTTAAAGGTGGCAAAAGCATGGGTCTTTCCACATATAGTGGACTATAGAAAATAAACAAAATAAGTAGAGAAAATAAATTTAGAGACTATTCTCTGCCAAAAGCAGAAAATACAAGAAAGATGTTTACCTGTGTTTTATTGACTATGCAAAGTGAATGTATGGATCATAATAAATTATGGATAAGAGTGAGAAGAATGGGAATTCCAAAACACTTAACTGTTCTCATGAAGACCATGAGCAACAACAGGCAATCAATCAAACAAGTGGTGGTTAAAAATCAGGAAAGGAGTGTATCAGGGTTGTGTCCTTTCACCATACTCACTCAATCTGTATGCTGAGCTAATAATCTGAGAAGCTGGACTATATGAAGAACACAGCATTAGGATCAAGGAAGACTCATTAACAACCTGCGATATGCAAATGATACAACTGTAGTAGTTCAGTTTGTGTGTAAACTTGGCTGGGCCTGGTTGAGTGGCTGGGCAGCTGGTGGTAGCTGATCCCCATGAGGAGACTGGCAATCAGCTCCATGGTGGGATCTACCACAAGCAGCTGTGTAGCTGCCTTTGGGTATGTGGTCTGCTTCCTGTATATAAGGAGAAGCCTTTGGGAATGGTCTCTAGCCTATGGTACACTTGGACCTTGCATGTAGCTGTGTTGTTACACAGCGGTCTGCCATGCTCTGCCGACCTTGGGACTTACAATGGACTTACGTTAATGGCCTGCTGTGCTGCAAAAGACTTCTTTAAAGTGTTAAAAAAGATGTCACTTTGAGGACTAACGTGCCTCTGACCCAAACCATGGTATTTTCAATCGCCTCACATACATGCGAAAGCTGGACAATGAATATAGAAGACAGAAGAATCGATGCCTTTGAATTATGGTGATGGCAAAGAATACTGAATATACCATGGACTGCTACAGAATGAACAATCTGTCTCAGAGAAATACAGTCAGAATGCTCTTTAGAAGTGAGGACGGTGAGACGTCATCTCACATATTCTGGACATGCTATCGGGAGAGATCAGTTCTTGGAGAGGGACATCATACCTGGTAGAGGGTCAGTGCAAAAGAGGAAGACCTCAACAAAATAGACTGACACAGTGGCTGCAAAGGTGGGCTCAAACACAGCACAGATTGTGAGGATGGCGAAGGTAGGGCAGTGTCTTGTTCTTTATACATACGGCAGCTATGAATTGGAATTGACTCAGGCACCTAACAACAACACAGAGAATAAAGGAGCTTTTGCACCCAAGTTCAACCCAGGCTTTACACTTTTCTAGGGTACTTTAACTTCCACGTTTGAAGAGATAGTATATAATGCTAAACAAAACCAAACCCTAAACACCTCAATGTGGTAAATCTGGTAGAATGATTGTGAGTTGATCTAAAAAGCTACCCTTGATGGCAATTTATAGTGAATTTAAGGGTGATGGTTAGCGCTGTCACCCTTTTTGCAATGGTTAGAGAAGGGAAGGGGACATCTGAGGGCCTATTATACTTAAGGCCCTGGGCTGGGCACTTCCATATGTATTATTTACTGTACCTGTTGCCCATGAGTTGATTCTGACTCATAGCAACCCTGCAGGACAGAGGAGAACTGCCCCATAGGATTTCCAAGATTATAAATCTTTACGGAAGCAGACTACCACATCTTTCTTCCAGAGTGGCTGGTGGAGTCACACTGCCGAGCGCTTAACCACTGAGTCACCGGGGCTCCTTTCATTTATCGTAGGTGGTTTTAAATTCCTTCATCTAAATCATTTTTGGTTAGAGCCCACTTGGAAAAGGCTAGGACATCATCAGATCCAACTATCAGTTTTCTCATTTTTTTCTAGTCCAAGACTAAAAAAAATGTTCATGAATGCAACCCTCAATATTGTAAAGATGTCATTTCTCCCCAAGCCTGACCTATAGGTGAAAGGTAATTCCTACCACTTAATTTACATTCTCAACCTGTGTGAGTGAGAACCTGGTAAGCTGATTCTAAAATTGATGCAAATGGAATGCAAAGTGGAAATCTAAAGGTATAATAAAATCTTGAAAAACAATTCCAAGAGGGGGAGACTTTCTCTACTGACAAGATATAATTAATATCATAGCATGGGACCGGCACAGGGGTAGACAACTAACTACACCAAAGGAAAATAAAAAGGACTCCTGGCACAGACTCCCTTCCTCAACTATACATGAAATCAGTTCCAGATAGATTAAAAACCAAAACGTGAAAAACTATAAAGCTTATAAAAGATAGATTATCTTCATATCTCTGGTGTAGGAGAGGATTTCTTAAATGACCCGAAAAGGCATGACCCACAAAGTATAAAATTGATTAAAAAAAGTCACCAAAATCAGTGATGACAGGGAGACAACTCAGAAGTTTAGAGCAGACATTACATGAAAGGGAAATCTTAATGGTCAATAATTGTATGAAAAGATGCTCAAATTCCATAGTAATTAGAGAAATGTAAACCAGGAGTCATCAGCTACCACTATTAACCCATCAGACTGGGTAAGAATTACAAGTTTGACAAAAACAAGTACTGACAGAATGCAGAGCAAAGAGAACTCTTATCCATTTCTTGGGGGAATGGAAATTATTAATAACTGCTTTAGGATAGTTTGGTATTATTTAGTAAAACATAAGATACTCACTTCCTATTACCAAGCATTCCCACTTCTACGTATTAGATCCTAGAGAAACTCTTTGTATTGTGCACATCAAGACTGACAGCAGCATTATTTGTAATAGTCAAAAACTGGAAACAATGCTGAAGTCCATCAATACTGGAACTGATAAACTACAGTATATTCATATAATGGAATACTACACAAGAATCATATGTAACTTCAAACAATGATACTGATGAAAGCAAAAACAATACTAAGAAAACAAATATGGTTCCACTTACGCAATTTAGGGAACCTGAAAATAATTGACTTTTTAGCTAGTCAATTATTTTCAGGTTCCCTAAATTTGAACATGACAATCCAGCAAGTAACCAAACTAAACATAAACTCGGAATCTATACTAAAAGGGGTTTAACATATGTGGCAGACAAAAATTTGGTTTCCAATTATATATACTATTTACTCTTTCATACATTTATGCTTTTCCTAAAAAATTATAAACTGAAATTAAGAAAATTTTAAATTAAGTGATCTTTTGGTGGGGGCAACTGTGTATTTAAATACATGGAACTGTACCAAATACATGAAATTACAAGCTAAGATATGGAGGTTGATCTTTTACAAAAGTAAAAAACTTAGAACTTAAAAAACATTTTTTAGTGTTACCTAAATTCATCTTCCCTATCTAGAAAAATCACATTTATTCAATTAAGAGATTGAGGTAACTTCTCTTTAGAGTTCCATTTCTGATAAGAGACAGTTAATTTTCTTAAATTATGACTACTACTTCAAAACTAGAAAGGAGTGGTGGGGGTAGTAAATCATGAGATTAAAAAGTAGGAATCCTAACTCCAATGGACCTAGTCTTTTCTGGCGAGCCCTGTTCTAGCTGCTTTGCTCCAATGTGCAGCCAGTTTCAGAATACTTTCAGTAGTAAGGTAGAAAGATCTAAAACTGGGCATGGTAGTTAAGTTGTGTATCAACTTGGCAAATCCTGGTTTTGAGTGGCTGGGCAGCTGGATGTAGTGATTCCCCATGATGGGACTGGGAATCAACTCCATGGTAGAATTTACTGTGAGCAGCTGAGTATTGCCTTAGGGATGTGGTCTGCTTCTAGTATATAAGAAGCAGCTTTGAGAAGGGTCTCTAGCTTTTGGCACATCTGGATCCTGCATTTGGCTGAGTCTTCATCTCAGTGGCCTGCTATGTTGTTTGCTAATCTTGGGACTGTTTCTGGACTTGAACTAGTGGCCTAGTGTGTTGCTTGATAATTTTGGGACTGTGCCATTTTATTTGTTGACTTTGGGTTTGTCAGCCTCAGCAGCTGCTAAAAGATGCTTCCAGCTTCAGTGGTCCAGCAGCAAGAAGCAGAGCTGAAGCCCAATGTTAAGGGGCCTTCACCCAGACCCTAGAGCTGGCACTCTGAATGTAGACTGCTAGCCTCCTAAACTAGAAGAGAATAAATCTGTTTGTTCAAGCTTTCTACATGTGGTATCTTCTGTTAGAGCAGCACTGGATACCAAAACACGGGAAAATCTGAAAATAGCTACTTTATTCCCTCCACACACATACATCACTTTTTTTTCCCCCCTATATGCCTATTCCCCTTCTATTATTTTTCTACTTATAAAGTGGCATAGTCCAGCAGGGAATAAACATTAAGCAGTTACAATCACAGCTACGACCAGTTCAAACGGTTGAGTTATGCCCAAAAAAGCAAAACTGGAACAGACTGGAATTTTTAAAATTTGGGTGATCCAGAACACTGAACAGAATGGGAAAAATTACGAGTCAAAGGCCTGGAATGGGAGATTTGGAAGAAGCATAGTGAGCCCTTTCAGGAGCCTAATGCATGACATTCAAAGTATGTGGTCGGTACCACGTTGGAGCCAGGCACAGCTAGTTCTGACTCTGCTGGTCAAAAAATTTAGTTGCTATGCAACGTAGACATTCTCCTTGTTTTCTAAGAGGGAGATTAAGCTTCCAGCAGGGTTCTGACCCTTAATTTTTTCCATTCCAGTTAGCATTCTGGATCACCCACATTTTTAAAATCTAGGTCTTTTCCAGCATTGCTTTATTAGCCATGACTGAACCAGTTGGAGGCCCTGGATATAATTCCTTTTTTTAATTTTCTTTCTTCTTTTGGTGTTTCCCATTCTCTTCCCATCAACACATGGGTAGCCTACTCCATGGCTACACGTAGTCCCACCTCCTCTCCCTCAGCACCTTATTTCCTGCCCACCCCCCACTATCTTAATCAGTTCTTAGGAAAGGTTCAAGCTTATATCTAGAGCATTTACACAGTAAGACTCTTCTTTAAGACTGACAGAAAAGGTGTCATCCTCAGGTAAAGTAATTTCAACCAGTCTTCAGAGAGAAGACTAAACAAGTTGGAGAGCTGGGGGACCCATTTCAGGCATATTTATTTTATTATGTAGTAATCTGTTTCTATTTATTCATTTGATACCCGAGTCAGGGAACCAGGCAGCTTATTTTTCTTTTCAATGCTCATTTAAACAACGCAGCTTCTGGGATATGTCTTGGATAGTGAATCTCACTATCTTAAAGTGCTGCTGCATGTTAAGAAATATTATCTGGAGACACAGTATCTTTAATCAAAAATTCAGTGTGATTATGTTGTACATAAGTTATTTTTAAAAATTCCAAATATATTTTGAATGATTTTTCCATAAAAAGGTTAAAAATCTATTTTTAAGAAATAATGAACCAAAACATGGAATTGTTTTGAAATGAATTTTACTAATACTTAAGTTAAACATCAGACTTTTTTTTTCTTTTGAAATTATACTTTTGGGATTACAGTACTTTAATAAATATTCATTAAATGCAATTAAAAACTTATGGACTTCCTCAATTCACTTTTTAAAATAGAAACTGGAATAATTAACCATAGATGTAGCAAAAAATTTTAAAATAAAAAAGAAAAATAAACCCAAAATACTTAACGATCAATTTCAAATCTACTAAGTTTCAAAATTCCTTCAAATAATAAAACCACTGAATTAATTTCCTAAAGCCATACACTGTGGCCACAGATGCCAAGGGACTAGACATGCAGTATGGTGTTTTCACATGTCAAAATGTGTTGAATACTAAAAGTTAAACTCTAAAAGATTTTTCTCATGTTCTTTACAGATTTAATAAGAAAAGGACAGTAAATTTTACCTTTGTGAAGACTGCCAGGGGCATGCCATACTGGTCCTCTTCCAAACCCGATATTAGTCCTGGCATCAGGACCAGCTGTCCTGTATTAGCTTGAGGTTGTACAGTAATTGGAGGACTGTCTGAGGGCACAGAGTCCTTTGGAAATAAGTCTATCTGTTCTGACCCCATTTGTTCCCTTTCTTTCAAGTTGGGGTCCTCTAATATACTAGGATCCAATGTTTCCCAATCACTTTCTGAAGACTCCGGAGATGGGCGGGAAGGAGGCTTCAAAAATTGATTAGTGTTATTGGGTTCCAATCCTTTGCTGTTGTCATTTTCTACTTGGAACAAAGGTTCTTCGGTTTTGATGGCAGCATCTTCTCCATGGTTTCTTGTCATGGTTTTCTTAACAGTTCCCGAGATGCTATTTGACATGTCGGGTGTAGACACAGAAACAAAGTCTTCTGCAGTAGGGTTTGTTTCCTGAAGTCCAGCATCTTCAGACATACTTTTTCGGGGTCTATACTGAGAACAGTCACTGAGACCATGTTCAATCATGCCTAAAGCACATATTATTGGAGAAGAGCTTAGCTTATTATGATAAATATAGGAGAAATAACAGTTGTATATTACACTTAATATTAGTTGAACTCTTCCATAGAAAATTTAATAAGCTACACATGCCCCGATTTTATTAAAAAAAAAAAGAGAAACTCAAATAAGAGAGAGAAATCTATTGTCAAAAGGAAAATGTCATATTAAAATAGAAATGTTAACCCTAGTGAGTTTACCCTTAAAAATCCTTATCACTGAAAAGATCTAGTACAAGTTAAACAAAAGAAAGAGTAGATATTGTTCTCTTACCTGGAAAAAGGGATAACACAGTCATCAGTGTACCCACCAATTTATTCACTGGAGAAATATAAAAGAGAACCTGAAATGGAGTCAATCAAAATTAAATTAGAGAACCTATGAGTCCATAAGGATACACAGAAAAAGGGGTGGGGTAGGGGATTCTTTTTTACAGAAGATTGATGGCTAATAAATGTGGAACAAAGGTAGAATTAGAAAATCAACATTTGTCATCCACTAAAGTAATAAAACTGATTTAGGAAAAAATTACCAGTATACCAAAACTATTGTAAAAGGTTGCTGGGAAACAGGATATTCTCATATAACATCAAATCTGTCATCCCACAGATTACCTAACAATGCAATTTATGATTCCGGACTGGATCCCAGACTGAACAACAACCAGCCATGAAGGACATTATTATGTCATATAGGGAAATGTGGAAATGGACTCTATATTCGATTTAATTTATTGTGTCAATGTCAAATTTCTTAAATGTGAAATGATTATTTTGGTTATGTAGGAAAAAAACCTTTATACTTAAGAAATATATTCTGAAATATTTAGGAGTGAGGTATCATGATGTTTTTCCAATTACTGTCAAATTACTATGATTCAGTAAGGAAATGAATATATAATTAAATACCTCATGGGATTTGGTTTCTTGGTTTGGAGATTATAAAGGTCATGGTTTCATGGGACTTCCCAATTAATTGGTCTAATAACATGTTTAGTGATTCTGTTCTACCTCCTGGACCTGACTCATAGCGACCCCTCCTTGGGTTTCCAAGGCTACGGTATCACTATGGAAGTAGATTGCCCAACCTTCCTTCCGAGGAGTGGCTGGTGCGTTTGAACCGCCAGCCTTCTGGTTCACAGTCAAGTGCCTTAGGTACTACACTACCAGAGCTATATAGATAGCAATAAAATGTAAAACCAGCAAAATGTTAACCAATGAATATAGATGAATGGTGTAAAATGTGTTCATTATATTATTCTATCGGGAGCTCTGGTGGCATAGTGCCTAAGGCATTTGACTGCTAATTAGAAGGCTGGTGGTTCAAACCCACCAACCACTCCTCAGAAGGAAGGTTGGGCAATCTACTTCCACATAGATACCGCCTCAGAAACCCAAAGAAGGGTTGCTGTGAGTTGGATCCGACTTGACGGCAGTGCATTGCATTGCATTTGTGTATATTATTCTATCAACTTTTTTGTAGGTTTGACATTTTCCAAATAAAAGTTGAAGAAAAATTAAATGAGAAACAGGGTTCAGTCAGATATTACACAAAAACTAACACTGGATAATAATAAAGAGTATACAAAGGCAACTTTATAAAAGCACAAAATAAATAAACTTTGTTATATTTTAAGAGAAATCATGAAACTTGATTAATAATCTCTTGCAAATAACAACAATGGAACTTAGAATAAACAGAACCTCCTATCAAATTCAGAAGTGCCTAGGATCATGCATAGATTTTAAATAACTATATGATAAGAAAATCTTTCTATTAGTAAACATGACACATTCCTTTGCTCTATATGTATTTCATTAAGTGTCTACACAACTGCTAAAGAAAAACAGTAGAAACTGCTCATTCAACAATGGCACCTTTTGGTATCCCTTGTTACCCTACCGAGAGGGATCAGGTCTTCGGGAGCAAGGTAAGCACAGGCGTAGCACAGAGTAGCAGGCCGGAAGA